AATGGAGGAGAGGAAACAAGAAGCATACAGTGTGATGAGAAGAAGCAGATTATCTCAAAAACGTACAGGGAGCAAATACAGTGGTGGGATAGACAAAACATAGGTAAACTGTAGTAAATAACAATGTATAAAGACAAATAAAAGACAAAAAGACAGACTGCTAAGGGTGTGATAAGTTCCTAGGTTACCCTGAGCAAGCCAGACTTTCTCAGCCTCAGAGGAATACTATAACATCCCCTCTCAACAACTGCTGCCAGAAAACATGAAAAGCACACAGCCATGACAATACAACAAAAACATTACAATGATTTTAGTTTGAACAGTGAAATGAAAATGATTAGACATTCAGTCAAGTTTATATGATGGATGCCCCATATAGTTGACATTGAGGTGTTAGCCTTGGTCAGCGAGCTAATGAAAGGAGGGATCAAAGACATCTAGATAGGGATGGCAATAGTGCACAGCTATAAGCACCAGTCAATATGTATATGTGCCTTCAAGTTGCTTATCAATTTATGATGACCCATTGATTTTATAAGGTTTTCTTAGGTAAGGAATACATCAATATGGTTTTGCCAGTTCCTTCCTCTGAAAATGTAGCATACAGGAACTTATATTCTTGATAGTTTCCCATCCAAGAACTAACCAGGACTGATCCTGCATAGTATCCAAGGTCAAATGGGATCTGGAACATTTAAGGTACCAGATATCATATCATATCCACCCATCTCATCCAGAGTTTTATCAAATTTTATCCATTTCACTTTTAATATATCTGGCCCACACACTGTGTTTTATTTCTTTTCATGTCATTTTAGACCTGTTTATTTTATTTTGTTATGTTATGTATTTATTTTGATGGTATTTTGCTTCTTTGTATTTTATTTGCTATATTTGTATTTGTTTTGTTATAATTTTGGGCCTGGCCTTATGTTAGCTGCCCTGAGTCCCTGTTGGGGAGAATTTGGCAGGGTATAAATAAAGATTATTATTGTTATTATTATTATTTACCTTTATTTATATTTACATTTACATGCAAGTTTGATTTTATTTTATGACTCTCTTATACAGCAACAGCCAAAGCTAACTGGATACTTTATAATTATAAAAAAGAGCTCAAAAATCATTCAATATAAAAACCATAATAAAACAATGTTAAAAAAAGAAAACGGAAATTACAGCATCCATCTGTCCCTATGAGAGTGCAGTAGTAATTTGGAAAATGCAGCAGAAATCCTTGTATCTTAATTTGACAGTAAAACATACAGCATGAAAGGATTTTATGGGAAAGATCGCCACAGTAGGAAACAGTTATATTTAAAGGACAGGCTTTGGAGGGATCCAGTTTTATATTATATGCATGCTTCCTACCATGAGCTGCCAATGGCGCCACCACATGCTGAAACTAAGCCACTGAACACAGGAAGGAAATTTCCTCATTATGGTGTTCTGCTTGCAAATAGCAGTAAACTACACAGTTTGTTCTGCAGTTCCCCCATACTTGCTCAGAAGTAGAGAGGGTTTCAAGTAAAGCAAAGGATATTCTCAGATGCTTCAATTTCAGGTCTGTTGCAGTTGGAGAAAAGAACATCAGGCAACTCTTAAACTTAAACAGCATGACCCGACTCTTACAATCCCATTTTTGCAACTTCTATGATCTGTTATTTCATAAGATGACTTAGGCCAGATGGAAGAAAGGGAGGAAGTGTTTAACTTTCTTTAGCTACTGTTTTCCCCTTCTAATACCACTCATGGGTTTTGTTCGACAACAAACACGTTTGCCTTTTTGCCTTGCACAGCAGAATTTGAATCCATGCACATAGACACTTGATAACTCTTTTTACACTTTGCAATGTCTGGGTCCTTCCTATACGGAGTCACATGTACTTATTCTAACCCCATAAAAGAATAGGGATGCTTCTCATGATCCAGATTCCCTGTGTGAAACTGAGTGGCGGTTTTAACAAAGAGGGCATTTGTCATGATCTTAAAACAGGTGCTGATTTATGGCACGTCTTATTGTCCTTCACGTGCAATTCTTACTTGCTGTATGGCAGTCTGCACAATGAAAACAGGCAATGATATACAGTGCTGCTAATGCTACTGTTTCTGTTGCCGCTGCATAAATAGCAGCAAAGTAACAGGATGGATGAGAGATGAAGACTTCAAACTTGACCAAGCAAATCCTAGGTCAAAGGCTGGTCTAGATCAAATTTTGGATTTTTCTCCAATGCTTTTTAGAGAATTGGAATTGGAATGAATGAAAATGTAGTTCCTTGGTGGCACTTTTATTAATAAGATGGCCAATTAATGAGATGATGAGGTGTCGCAATTGGCAATCCTTACAGCTCATTGAATTATTCTTAAGCACATCCCAGGAGAGCTTGGCAAAGGAACCTTTTTGGAAACATTTCAGAGAATCTTTCACTCACCATGACCATGGGTTATTGTAGGGTTTTTGGGTGTATGGCCAAAAAACCTACTATTGTTCTAAAAGCATTCTCTCCTGACATTTTTACTACATCTGTGGCATGCATCTTCAGAGGTTGTGAGGATGCCTGCCACAGATGCAGGTGAAATGTCAGGAGAGAATGCTTCTAGAATATGGCCATACAGCCCAAAAAACCTACAACAACCCAATGATTCCGGCCACAAAAGCCTTCAACAATACACTATGACCATGCTGTCTTGAAGGCTCTGGGAGTAAACTACAATGGAAAGTTCCTGAAGCTCTGATCTTGTAGGCATCATGTCTTGAAATTTATTTTCTCAAAACAACACTTTGGATTACGGAGAATACTGATGCATCAATGGCCAGTCTCCTAGGCATGAAACCCTGTGATATGAAATAGCCCCAAGTTTTTGTGTTTTATTGATTTTTTTGTGTGTGTCTAGGAATATAAACCTCAGATTTTTATTTGAGATGCTTTGTCTTATATAAACTGGACGGAAACTCAGAAATGAATCCAGCTTTGTTTGTATATAGTGTTCCATGCAGCCACCCTATGACAAATTTAGTACTTGAGCACAAGTTACTGGTTCAGTGAAACCCATTTGCAGAGTGCCTCTGAATCAACATCAATATCCTCAGGGCTGTGTACCCTGACTCCAATAAAAATACATGTTCCATAGCAAGAAAAACATCCTTTTGAAATAAAAAGGAGGAAAGGAGATGAAATAAAAAGAGATCACCTTTAAGACAAATGAGTTTTTCATTTTTTTGGATGCATTCAGTACTGTAGTTTATATCTGCATACCAAAATAAAATCCAATTAGTCTCAACCTTTCTTATTTCCTTCTCCCACCTTTCTCTTTTTCATCACAGCTACGTCTTCAAAGACATCCCTCTGAAATGTTTCTTTTGCAATTGGTTCATTTCAAGAGACTCAACACAGTGTTAAAACCACACAGGGCAAAAAATGGGAGATCAAAGAAAAGAGATTGGTACAAGTTCTTGGGTCGGTTTGGGAAGAGTGTCTTAACTGGGTATAGTATATTATCTTTGAAGATATCAATACACTGCAGAAAAATACATGGCATGTGAATGATATCACTGCCATGAGCACTAAGAATACTGAATAAGTCTGTACTCTAACAACTAGGAAACATTGCTTGCTATACTGCTCAATACAAAGGAGCAAAGTCCTCTTTGCAAGGCTGAAATCTTTTTAGTAGCATTTTGGGCAACCATTTCAAACTTTTCAGCATTGTCACCGTTATTAACAATATATATATTTAAAAAAATCATAGCTAAGCCCCTCCATCACAGCTTCAATTTCTGACAGTTGTCAGTTTGCTGCAGAGTGAATGTCACAGGTAGAACTAATTTATCTGATCAGTAGCAAAATCATCACTCTGGAGATGCAAGGAAGACGAGAGATATTGACAAGCTGGAATGTGTCCAGAGGAGAGCAAAGAAAATGATCAAGGGTCTGGAGAACAAGCCCTAAGATGAGTGGTTTAAAGAGCTGGGCATGTTTAGCCTGCTGAAGAGAAGACTGAAAGGAGACATGACAGCCATGTATAAATATGTGAGGGGAAGTCACAGGGGGGAGGGAGCAAACTTGTGTTCTGCTGCCCTGGAGACTAGGATGCGGAGCAATTGCTTCAAACTACAGGAAAGGAGATTCCACCTGAACATTAGGAAGAACTTTCTGACTGTGAGAGCTGTTCAGCAGTGGAACGCTCTACCCTGAAGTGTGGTGGAGGCTCCTTCTATGGAGGCTTCTAAACAGAGGCTGGATGGCCATCTGTTGGGGGTGCTTTGAACAAGATTTTCCTTCTTCTTGGCAGAGGGTTGGACTAGATGGCCCACGAGGTCTCTTCCAACTCTATGATTCTATGAATGCAGGAGAATTACCCAACCCCACACTGCCCAAATTTTCCAAGCCATCTTCCAATTACAGGTAAATGATGTAACAACTCTCTGATGAGAAAATGTCACAATGACCAGCAACCTGGGATTTCCGGGTGATGTCGGCAAGCCAAACATGACATCTTTTTCTTTTCTGCTCTACATGGTTCAGCTTCATCCCTCCAAAGAAAGGTCTAACTTTAATTTCTTACTCACTGACAACAAATCTGGACACTGACATTCTCTACGCCTGTAAAGTCCCATGTTATATTGCCTCTTGAAATGTTTGAAATGGGGATCCTATAACAGTCTGCAGCAATTACCCAATCTAAATACTCCATTATGTTCCCAAACAATCAGAATCAGCCCAGCAAACAAGCTCTGTCTCCTCTGATCCATAGCAATCAAGAAGTAAAGCATGCAGAACATCACAATATAAACACACTTTCCAGAGGACCACAAGGGGAGTCCTGGGAGGAGGGAGCCGGGAGGAGGGGGGAAGGTGGGCAGTGACTTCCTTGTCAAAAGAGCTACCTCTTTCATTGTTGGTTTTAATTGGCAGGTGGAAACCTTTCTTTTAATAAAGCATGCTGTAAGTGATAACGTTCCAGGAAAAGCAAAGAAGGAATGACAATGCTGTACTTACAGGTAGGCTGTTAAGGGACTCAGGCCATCAGGAACAGAAGAGAGGCCAAGCTCTGAACAGTCCACTGAGAGCATGATGCCATCTTCTTCACAGTGGCACAGAGGTGGGCAGGAGAGTGCAGCACCTTGTTCCAAAGACACAATTTTGAGCATGCCTAAAAAACACAGGAAAAGCCACCAGGGCATCAGCAGCTGGTCCATTCGGAGTCCAGCTGGAGCCAGCATGTTGCTTCAGGCTGGTTCTCTCCTCCTCCACCAGTTTGCTCCCTCTTTCTTTCACCCTCTGGTTTGATCTTTGCAGGGTGGTGGAGGCAAGTGATTCTAGAGCTCTTGCCGACAGCAGCACTTTCTCACTCTGCTGTGCTCTTCCTTGGTGCAGCCAAGGTGCAGCCTGTGAAGGGAAGGCATTGTTGAGTGATCCTAGTTATTGGGTTTCACACCGGCTGGGCTGGGCTGAGCAGAGGTTTAGGGAGGCTCACATGGGAGGAGTTAGAGAAACTTTCTCCTCTCCTTCCCTCTCCCTCCTTCAGAGCTGGCAGGAATTTCATTCAAAACCAGAAAAGGTGCTGGTGGTGTTTGAGAGAGAGAGAGAGAAAAAAGAGAGAGAGAGACCTGTTAGTAGCTTTGGGACTTGTTTGGAAACAGCTTTAAAAAGAGGTTGAACAGGGAGGGGAAAGATTGGCAGAGTAAAATGAAGGATCTTTGGGAGGCAAGCAGAGAAATGTCACTCATTCAGCACTTCCATTTCACAGCATTTTGCCCTTGAGCTTGGAAAACTTATGAGGGAGAGGATGATAACCTCCACTATGGTTTTTTTTTTTTAAAAAAATGGAATTCTGGGTGTTATTGTTCAAGGAGAAAAAAACTTTTCTGAGCTGTTTTGCCTCAGTTTTTACATCCATGTCTCTCCGTTTCCATGTCAGAACCCCATTGACATGGGGTTCTGACATGATTTTGGCTCCACCATTTACACACACAGAAGCGCATCATAGACCTTCTCCTACCATGTCAACAGCACATCCAGTCTTCTGTTAATGCTGCCCCTTCCCTCCATCCACATAATTCACCCATAAACTGAAGATAAAGCTTTATGCACCTAAAAGCATGGATGTTTCATTGTGCCTTTGATTAGGCAGTTCCACAGAATTGATCCTTTAATACCTAAATTTCAGCACTTTGGCATGGCCCTCCGCACTACAATCCTGACATTATAAAGCTCAAGGACATTACTCTCCCATCCATCCACTGAATTTAGCACTTTCCCTTAGCTCTATCTAGGATTTTGCACAAACTAATAAATAATAAAAATAAAAATAAACTCAGAGCCCTCTGAACTTAGCAAGTTTATTGTTCCCATGGTACTGTTTTCATAATGTTATGTTTTATTGTGACATGTTTCTATTTAGTTTGTTTTTGTTTTTCTTTTAACTCTGTGCTCTCTGGGCTTGTCCCTTTGTAAGCCACCCCCAATCCCTTCGGAGAGATGGAAGAGGGGTATAAAAATAAAGTTATTATATTATTATTATATGCAATGAATTCTAGTCCTCAAAAGCATCTGCTGTCATGAATGCACCATCTCTTGAGCACTCTCACAATCTCCTGATCATTTTGGCACCACATAAATGCAGACTGTTCAACAGGCCCTTCAGAGGCATAACATCATTACCTGTGTGACGGGATGCAAAGAGATGGGGAAATCTCACCTGAATAATGCCATCCATAGTCCAAGTAAATGACAGTCTGAAAACTGCTGCACCTGAGTAATGTGGTAGTATAATTCAAAGAAAAAGTGCTACTTTTGACTAATCTAAACATTAGATTTTGACCTAATCTAAGAGATTGAAATTCAGAAAAAAGTATTAGCTAACAGATTCTCTCTTATAGTTAACATGAAGGTGCAAATTCCATAGCAGTCCAATTGCTTGTACACAGGACCAAAATACTTATTTTTATGTTTCGTTTTAAAATCTTCTTCAGCACTTTTGCTTTTCCTGTCTCCCTTCTTTTCATCTCAAAAAATGCTTTCTGCATTTGCACAGACACCTGAAGTTTTGCATACCCAGACTTAATCCTATCCAGTATTGTTAGAGCTTGGAAGTCTTCTATCTAGTCACTCTGCTTAGGGCAGAGCTCAGAAGAGTTACACTTTTTGTAATCTAAATCCAGATCCAAATTATGGGTCTTGTAGTCCAAATAATGTCATTTTTCCTAGCTCTAATAATGTGATTCCATTTGTTTACTGGCACAACCAATAGTGAAGAATGCTAGAAGTTGCAGTTCACCAACATCTGTAAGGCTGTAGTTTGCCTGTTCTTGATGGAGCACTATGTAGGCAATTACCATGTGAGGATAAGAAAAACTTGTAAAGAAAATTAGCTTTTTGAACCACCAAAATCTCCCAGCTGCCATGACTGTTAAAAAGGTAACCTTTCCAAGCTCTAATTAGATGTGTAATGGGAACAAGGACATGCTGGCGGGAGCAGCCTACAGACATCATCCATCAATGCTCAGCTTATCAGTGCTACAGACCTTTTTTCTTTGGCTTAGATGCCTGTCTTTTATAGTGGTTTGGGGCTGGGGGTTAGATTGGTGGAAAGATCATAGCTATGTCTTTCATGCAGAATCTTTGCTTTTATTTATACCCAAACAAATCTCTCAACTTAGGATTCAAGCTAGCTCTTCCTAACAGCACAGTCAGGCTGTTCAGTATTATTTGTCTGTGGCACAAGTACCATTAGAAATGTGTTAATACAATATAGTTGCCAAACAAATTGATAGCAAAAAGGAAAAAAACAAACAAAAACAAAACACTCTGGTGTGACAAGGAAATTAGATCAGAGGTAGAAAATAAAAAGAGAAAACTTGAATCTTAATAAAAATGGTATATTGCTACAAGATTAACAGTGTCAATGAAGGACTCTTTCACATTCCACAACTATAGTGCTGTGATTCCAGTTGAATAGCCATGGCAACATTCTGTGGAGTACTGGGATTTGCAGGTGAGGGAAGGGCATTTAGAATTCACAAGTGCCTCATCAAAGTGAGAATCCCAGGATTCCATAGGATGCAGCTGTGGATGTTGAAGTGGGATACTATTGTAGTTGTGATGTGTGAATTAGACTTAAGACAATAAATTCTACCTGCCATTCCCTTTAGCAACAACCTCTGTGAGGCAAGTAGACTGGGTAGGGTATTTTTTTTCCCTGCAATACTTGCATAAATGGTTGTTGCAGGGAAATAATGTATAGTTGTTAGTAATTCATTTGCTCTTTCTGTCCATTCTCTTCTGGCTTAGCATGAAGGCAGTGCGCTACTGTCTGTTGTCCCATTATAGGGAGTGTCTTAAACAAACCGTAATTCTTCCCATTTCTGTCAAAGCTGTTTGAAGGAGTAGTGATGATATTTATGGTTTCATTGTTGCCATATTAGATACCTATTGCTGCTTGTTGCTGCAAAGAGAGATGCAATGCAGGGGAAGTGGCAATTCATTCATGCATGTATTCATTCTTGAACTGGACATTTTCACTCTCCCTTGTGTTACTATTGGGCAGCTATCAATCACTGGCAGCATTACTCAGCTACCAATCACTCAGAATTATGGATCAACATGAATATATTAAATAAAAGGAGCTTATTTGGTAAGACTAGAGGAACATTGCTTTGAGGCTACCTGAAGTCTGAGAATTATTTCAGATGGACAAACATCTGAATAGGTTTGAAACTTATTTCTGTCATTTGTTTCATTCAATATTATTTAAACAGAGTTCTTAGAGTTACCGTGACCTCATGACATGCAATCTGGACTACAGAGCCACACGAGGCCATCACATGACGTATGGGCACTTTGGGTGGAACTCCATGGGATTTGGTTTCTGCAATGCATGGAAATGGAGCCCGGAATGTTACTTAAATGTTACTTGACTCCAAATGGAAAAGAATTGGGAGAAAATGGGAAAAGGACATGGGTTGGCTGACCATCCCACAAGGTGGACCTAAACAGTAGGGAACAAATAAAGTGGGGGAAAACCATCCTTCTGTTTTTCCCACTTTCCTCCCACTCATGGGATGAGTTCACTCTACGCTCTCCAACTTTTGAGATGGCTTTTGCTGCATGCCCTCATGGTGTTTCTGACTTATGTCAACACTATCAGAGGGGTTTCTTGGTAAGCTTTATTTTGGTGGGGGGAGGGGTGTGTGACTTTGCTTTCCTCTGTTGCTCAGGGTGTGTGATTTGCCCAAGGTTACCCAGTAGGCTTCCATAGTTTGGTTTATGTATGTAAGACATTGAATTTTGCCGTTAGTTTTGTGTAAACCACTTTGAGTTCCCCTGGGGTGAGAAAGGCAGTATAAAAATAGTGCAAACAAATAAATAAATAAATAAATAAATAAGCAGGGATTTCAATCCCTGTCCTAGTCCACTGCTCAAATTCTACATACTGTCTCTTAACCTTTGAGACATTTTATATCAGCTTCATTTGTTGTTTGGCATAAACCAAGATTCTACCAATATTGCACCAGTTCTAAGAATGAATTGGTCAATTATATTTTTCCCATATTTATTTTTTTAAGATTTAAAGTTCTTTCTATCAAATGCATGATGAAGTTGTTACAAAATAGGAAACAAACCAAGTGAAGTTCTCAACTACTTGCCCTGGCCATATTCAATACACACAGCTATTTCCATTATGAAGAGGATGATGCGGTGCTTACCTGCCTTATCCTTTTTAAATGAGAATCCATTAGGATCAAAGTAATATCAGCTCTGAACACCACAAACATGGTTTCAAATACAGTTTTTAAAGTTCTCAGTACTCAGAACCTCTGTCTGGATGAATAGAACTGTTACAAGGAGCTGCCGTGGCACAATGGGTTAAACCCTTGTGCTGGCCGGAGTGCTGACCTGAAGATCGGCAGTTTGAATCTACGATACGGGGTGAGCTCCTGTCTGTCAGCTGCTGCTTCCCATTCAGGGACATGAGAGAAGCCTCTCACAGAATGGTAAAACATCTGGGCATCCCCTGGACAAACATCCCTGCCAGGCGGCTAGTTCTTTCACACCAGAAGCGACTTGCAGTTTCTCGGGTCACTTCTGATAAACACACAAACACACAAAATAAAGCTGCTAATTTTGCTTTCTCTAATATTCTTCTTGAAGATCGAGTTCTGTCTGACAAATTTGTTGAAAAATATGTTAATTTTAAAAAGCAATAAAAAATAAGCAAAGCGAAACTCTTGCTCATAGCTATCCAATCCTCCTTTTAATATTCTACTTGGTATATAACAAGGAATTAGGGCAACTAAAATGCAGTTACCTGACGCAACCTTCACACATGAATAGGAGCAGCCACATAGCCACTTAAGTGAATTTTACTGTCATGCACACACAGAGACAAAATATTGCTGTAGGCGTTATACACATGGCTCCTTGTGAAACTAGTTATTAATACTAGTTAGCTCCTGTTTGGATGGTGTTAACATGACTAAGCACCATTATTA